CTGGTACTGGACATGTGAAGTGGTATCAAACCATCGGCAGACTTTGATGAAATGTGTTTGTGTGTCCGTTGTGTGTGATAAGCAGGACTGCTTGCCTTGCTGTTGTTAGTGTTGGACTGGACCCAGCCAGGCTTGTCATCCCCACTGAGGCCAATTTGTGACCTGAGGGTCCTGAACCATTTCATACAGGAAGCACGAGACGCAGAAGGTGCTATGGTGAGAGGAAAATGTATGCATGCATTCAAACCTGAGAGCAGCTGAAGGTTGCTTTATGTTGTCCTCTAAAGACTCTTTGTCTGCTGAAGTCATCAATACTCTCTCTCTCTTTTTTTTTGCAGAAGTCATGTAGAGAAGGCTGTGGCCTGTCCCAGTCTGTCACCGTCCCCCAGACTACAGTAGACTTTGATGTATGGGAGAAGAAAAATGTAAGTAATCACTGATGGCTGCTGGATGTTAAGCAGCAGATTTAAATCAGCTATCAAATTCGGTCGACCTGTGGGCAAAGCCGTAGTACCTGTTCATTTCTAATCTGATCATTATTACTGGCTCCGTTTGTTCTAGTCTTTAAATCCTGCCCCCGGTTTTTTTTTCCTGCAAGGCACAGGAACAAGCCCAGGAGGTGCAGACTGGCTTATGGTTGTTACAACAGTCCCTCAACACGCTACAGACGTCGGTCACCAACACAGCAATGCACAGTCACATAGACAACACCATCAGAAACCTGCTCAGCATCAACGCTGTGCTGCGTAGTCTCAACATCCAGGTGAGTTGGAGAAGCTTCCCAGGTAGTAATTCAGGAATAACAGGTCAGCAGCTGCCCAGCAAACATCACTGTGTTGTCACTGTGTACATGGGCAAATGGTCATGGTCAGGTGCCAAAATGTGCAATATTTGGTTCACAACCAAAGGGGATCTTGCTTTGATATCTGATTGTTGTCCATTTAGACCCTCTTTAATGAGCAGTATAAGCTGTGGTAGTGGGTTTTGAAAGCAGTCAGCTAATTTAGTCGGGTCAGGCATGTGCAGAGGTGCAGTGCTATTTGTTTTAGTAGTGGAGCACATCAGTCAGGCACTTTTGAGTTATCTGCTTCTAAAGCTCTACGTTTTTGACCATTATTCAACTATAACTAAGCAAATGGGATCAAACTGACTTTAAAAATATATGAAGTCTTCTGTCTAACCATGCTTATCACTCCTTACTTGTTGCTCACCGCTCTCTCCTCCCTGGACACATCTACTCTCTCTTTTCACATTACTTCCTGTGGGATATATGTCCATGCACTCCCTAACTATGATGCCATCTCTCTCCCTCTCCTATTCTCTGGTGAATTTTGAATTCTACTGCATGGATTTACAAAGATAATATCAGAGTTAGAGAACTGCAGCAGTTTGACACTTCAGTAGTGTATATTCAATTCAGCACCAAATCACAACAACAGTCGCTTTGCAAGGTAGACCCTACAATAATACATACAGAGAAAACCCCAACAATCATATGTGCCTACTATGAGCAAGCACTTTGGCGACAATGGGAGGAAAAAATTCCCTTTTAACAGGAAGAAACCTCCGGCTTTAGCAAAAAGGAAAGTTTTAAGCCTAATCTTAAAAGTAGAGATAGTGTCTGTCTCCTGAATCCAAACTGGAAGCTGGTTCCACAGAAGAGGGGCCTGAAAACTGAAGGCTCTGCCTCCCATTCTACTTTTAAATACTCTAGGAACAACAAGTAGGCCTGCAGAGCGAGAGCGAAGTGCTCTAATAGGGTGATATGGTACTACAAGGTCATTAGTATATCACAGATTTGAGAGCAGAAGAAAAAGAAACGGATATTAAATGATTTGTGGTTTGCACAGACAGTCTGCACCAAAGTAAAACATCTTTGGGTGCTTTAAAAGCTACTTTTGGAATTTCCCTCTCAGAACACAAACATAACAGTTTAACACTAAATTTAACATTTTAAAAAAAGCATGTGTTGTCACAGTTAATGTGATTTGTGTTCAATGAACGAGTGAGTAACTGGTACTCTGGGAGATGGCTCCAGCTGTGAGTGCAGTGCCAAAACTTTGTCCTGCAACTTCCCCGTGTTCTCACACTGCACGTTTTGAGCCAAGTCCCCTCCTGCTCTTCACTTATGATGTTAATATGTGAATGAAACCAAGCAGAATAGACTGAGCTGAACTTTCAGGCTTTCGGTTGCATTTCTACCTTAATATTGATACATAATTAAAATATTTACAGAAGTGTGCACACAGCTGTTAATGGGACTTTGTTAGTGTGTCACTATCAGTGTTTGAATCTTAAACTGCGTAATACTACATTTATTTATTACAGGCTGCAGCAATAAAAGGGCCCTCATGTCATAAACATTCAGCCTCCTTTCATTCATCTTAAGTGCTACACTGTTTCCATAGAGAAACTGATGTGTAAAACCTGAGCCTCCACAATATTACTGTTACAAGGACATCACTTGACCCTCATTGCGTGTGCTAACTTTGGAGCCACTAATTTGTGCGGCTCTTAGTAGTTGAATATTGGAACAGACTGCATCTTTATATATAAATTAGTGCACCATGAGTCCTTCCACCCCTATGGTTCATTTTTGGGAATGCTCTTTGGTAAACAGGATTTTTGATGTGAAAAGAAGTTTTTGCACCTGTGCAGATGTTAGTAAATCTAGCCCTAAATACCACGATCACAACTTTGACCCCACATTTTTTGTTGTTGTCTGTCTTAATAACTGTGATAACCAATCGAGCCAGCTGTGAATATTGGCTCGAATTTTGTCATTTGGGGGAAAAATTGGTGAAGCATCAGCACAGTGTGTTCCAGCACATCTACGCCTCTGGACATGTGCTGGGCAAGATTAGGAAAAGGCATTGCAGAAGAGTGATGCATGTTTTATTCTTATCATTGCTACTTTGCATAAACCATATAAAAAAATAATATTACTGTTAAAAAATCTGGCACTGGAAAATGTGGGGAAAGGTATGTACTTGATGATTAGAGACAGTTTATTTGTTTCTAAGATGGTCTCACTTATTGCATTAAAGTGAAATAGAGACTCTTTCTTTGGCAACAGACAAACGGAGCACAGTCACAGACATTCAGGTCCAAACTGTCCTGAAGGACAAACTCGTGTCGTAAGAACATGACTCAGGGGTCACATCGTGTTTCTTTGTATTCTCTTTCAGGAATTTACACCACCAGCAAATGCAACAGACCTTGAGGGAACATGGAGGGTGTCCTTAGCAACAGATCTGCTTCAGGTCCACGTCAACTTCCTGCGAGGCAAAGTGCACCTTCTTCTTTCGAGTGCACAGGCATGCAAGCCAGATGTCAGCTGATCGACCGATCGCCCCATCCCGGGCGAAGAAATTTGTGTTTCCAAAGGCAAGAGGAGAAATGTGACACTGGTTAACCTGCACGCTGCTGGAAGCGGTGTGGAATGAGAAAGACGCAGCAGTCGTCGCATGCAGAGGAAGAGCTGAAAGGATAGGACTGTCTCAGCAACGCTTTGGATGGACAGGAGATGAACGCACCTTGGAAAGTAGATGTGACTCATGGACACGGTGACAAAGACCAAAGTGATGCTTTTGGGAAGCACTGCTCCAATAGCTGTTTTACTGGCACTCTCTTGCACTTTGTGTGTGAATGTACTTCAGTGTGGGTGAGCTAAGACTGAACGTTTCAGTGTCGTCCGTGTGCGTCTGTTTTCAGTGAGTCTGACCCTTACACTTATTTCTTTAGAGGGAAACACCCAGTTAATACTGACTACACCTGGGCATCAATTTCACTACTGGAGGCAGAAACTAACGTGGCCTCACTCATGGTTTCCACATTTTTCAACTTTGCCTCACAGAATCAGTCTCTCAGATTTTTTTCAGTGAATATTTTAATATATTTTTAAGTTGAGGAATTACTATTTATACAGATTTTTCTACTTTAAGCTCAATCTTTGACGTAGTGTCAGGTCTAACATGCTAGTTGGGCTCTTTGTCATGTTTTGTTGTGTAACACTGAACACATTTGCAAAGGTGTTTGCTGCTCTTTCTTTAGTTTTTTGATGATTGTGTGTACCTGATTGGCTGTTTGACACTGCATGTCCTTTCCAAATAACAAAGGCTTACATAGCTGATGTTCAGTTCCAGTGAGTTTGGGGGTGTGAGAGGTCAGTGAGGAGAGTTACATGAGAACTGTGAAGCTGCTACGTCATTGTCCGTGTTGTTGTTTTTGCCTGACTACACTCACCCAGTCTCTACACGCTGATAGCCAGACTGTCTGGAAAAACGTACAATTTACATCCTGTGTGGCTGTAATTGCAAATAGTTTTCCAGAGGCTGACGCGACACCGTCTTCTCCCTCCCTCTATTGTTCGTCATCAAACCTCAGCCAGGCAATCAGTGAGCCCTGGGAACTCGAGGCTTTCTGTAAAATGGATGCTCAACTGTTTCAGATTAGTTAAGTGTTCTTCCTTGTTTTTTCCCTTATTTTTATATCTTGTCGTGCAAGTGCAAGATGTTTTTAAGGATGTTTGTATGCGTTTTCTTTCCTGTTTTGTGTTGTTTTGTCCCATCACTGTATGATTCCCTATTTAAATACGAAATGTTGTTCTCGGATAAAGAAAGGATGGATGGAAACACAACAAAGGGGAAGTTTTTGCATCTCGTTCATTATTTTTGCCTTTTTTTTCCCCTCTCGATGGGGTGAACAAGCAAGCACAAGTACAAGCTGCCACAGCAGAATTTACTGGTTCCACATACAAATTTTCCAGCCACGAATACAGAAATAACAGTTAAAGAAAGATACACTCTGGCAAGTTTTTATTTTTACCCAGATTTCAAACAATCCAGCATTCATTATATACATTTTGAGTTTTGAGACACAAATCACATTTAAACAGAGTCTACGTCTCAGTGACCCTCAGCTGAACTCACACTGTAAACAATTTGACAAAACACTGTTGTGATGGAGCTATAGAAGTTAGTCTGCAGAGTACGGTAACAACTTCCTGGCATGTTTATTGTAGCTACTACTGCCACCTAGTGGAGATTTACAACAATAACACCTGTTTGCTGCTTTCTTATCGGCATCTTTAAAACCTGAACACACAAACATTAAACACATAAAAAAAAAAGTTGGCACAGCCACATATGTATAAATTATAGTGCACACTAGTGTTGCTCCAAAGCATGCAGGCTGAAAAATGTATACAACACAAGAATAGCAAAGGTGGCTCTCCACATAAACTCAGTGTTTGTGATCTACTGGTTAACGAGGGAACAAACAGGGCCTGAGGACTAATGGAGAATCTCAGGCTGATCCACAGGAAACCCCCTGATTGGTCACTGAGCGTCAGGATAGAACACCTTTATGTGAATGGCCGAATTGTTACGTGTACGCGTCATCGGCTCTCCGGCCTCGTCCGGATCTTCGGGCTCCAGGTCGTCCACAAGCTCCACTGTGGAGGTGTTGGCTGCCAGCTGTAGCGCCCCCTGACTGCTGGCCTGCAGCTGAAGGGCAATGTTAATAGCCCGGTTGATGGCCAGGCCCAAGCCATGAACACAGATCTCTCTGTGACCCCCACCTTCTAGAAGCTTCTGACAGCGCGCCAGCTGAGCCCGGAAGTCCGTCTTCATGTTGACGTAGACGTCGTTGCGTCTTTTTGGGAGCTTCCGGGGAAGACGCTTCCTTAGTGTGTACTCCACTGGGTCCATCTCAACAGCAGGTGAGCTGGAGTCTGTGTGTGCAGGGCCCGTCTGAGGGATGGAGGACATACTGGGGTTGCGTGGCTCCGTCATGTTTAGATTTGTGCCAGGGGATCAAGTTGAGGTAGCAGGTGGGGCCACACGAAGAAGCTGAGGAAAGTAGACAGAAGGTGGTGTAACATGGTCAGATTAGCCTCAGGATACCTTTCAGAAATACTATTCAGAATGGATCTAACGCATCATCTCTATATCTGCACATAGAAAACCGACAGTAAGGTGACATATACACAACATTTCAACATTTAAGCATCCGGAGTCTCTACAGCATTTATGTTCACCCTGGACAGCAATCATGAGGTCATGCTGGATTTATTCTCAGCTCAGAATAAAATCTACAGTATGTAGTGATGTTGTTGCCATGTTGCTCTGTGGACATGAAGGCAGCCGTCAGGTTGTCAATAAGCTGCTCGCCACGGTATGTAGTAATCACTGTTTCAAAAAACCTGTACTGAGCTGTGGACAATCATTTATCTGTGGACTCACTGATGGAAATTTCCTGTTATTTATGATTCATCCCATTCTTAAAAACCCATTTCATCATGATGCCATGCTGGAGATGATGGGAGTATTTCTGATGACGGTGGTGCAGCTGAAACACATTTAAGATTCTTGCATTTTATCCATCAAGTTTATCATCTGTTAGTAAATTTGAAGTTGAATAAATGTATCTGTAGTTTATCTGCAGTATCTGCTCAGTATTTACCCAGTGGTAAACAGTCTACCCTGTAGTGCATGTTTCTGTCATGCATTTTCCATTTCACTTAGTGGAACTTAAGGACTCTGGTTAAAAGGCTAAGCTTAAAGAGAATAAGTAGGAGTCACATTAGCAAATATAGTCACTTCCTGTAAAATCTCAGTTAATTTATATCGTTTCGTTGGTAGCAGGAAAATTACCTTAAGGACACACGAATACAAATCACCTTATTTGTGCATGACTAGATAAACAATTAATGCATAAAAAATAAATCAAATAATATTTTTAGATTTTTAATCATCTTGTGGTTTGCAGCTGTTCAAGCTGGCCCAAGATAAAAATGAATTCAACAACAAAAAGAGCGAAAGATGAGAACGGTCCCTGTATAACTCGAGTAATCAGTTTCGAAATGAAAATACATACAAACATCTACAGATACGCTCACCTGAGCTGTGCTGGTGAGCTCATATAGTTATCACATCTTCCAGTAACGATAACATCCGTATCCCGAACAAACCCAGTGTCTCAATCTAACATTAATAAAGATGTATTTTTCTAGGAGCAACTCGCTAACAACGTGCTAACGCTATAAACAACAGTGCAGTGGCTAAGCTAAGCGTGTAAATGAAACACGAGTGTTTCCTCGGTGTCACTCCATCCTGGGAGTACTCTTACCTTCAGAGCACAGACTCAGGTCACAATGTTTCTTTATATCATGGCCAGTTTATACGGAGCATGTTTTTTAAGCTGTACCGCAAGCTTCCCTAGATAAACTGGTAGTTTATTCTCTGCGTACCGGAAGCTCGATAACTGGCTGGGAAAAGGTGGGTCACAGCGCCGCCTTCAGGCGGCTTTAAGACTTTCTGAAATAAAATGAATGAACGCAAAATACATAAACAGCGAAAACAAGAAGCTTTATATTCAGCACACACGGACTCGAACATATAATAACAAAAATAATTCAGAATATTTACCATCTGCAATTCTTCTATTTCTTTATGCTTCATCTTAAGGATAAACGTTGATTCCAACGTGTGCCTTGCCTTTTCTGATATCTGATCCATTCGAAGTTAGGAAAATGAAAACGGAAACTTTGTTCTTGGTAATTTGCCGTTATTTATTTATTTATTTATTTATTTATTTTGTAAATTATAAAAGCTAAGAGACTTGTCACGTGGTCATTAAACCAAAAGTGAAAAATGATCATAGTTCCCCAACACCAACAGAATAGCAGGAGCGCTCTCACTGCTGCCACATTTGGAGATCTACAGGACGGTTTGTCCGTAAATTTACTGCATAAAGAAGAAAAAAGCCTGAAGCAGAAAAGAAAAAGCAGAGCTGTTATGTAAAGGTGAGTTGTTTTAATACTGATGTTTTGTAACAGATATCTCAGTGTGTGTGTCTGCGTATCATCTGATTTATGATTGTTTTAGGAATTCTGTCGCATAATAAGAACATTTTAATAAGTGCAGCAGAGAGAAGCAGCTGGTTCAGTCTAAACACCATTAATGTTGTAATGACAAACAGTTTTATGCATCACAGAGGGATCGATAAATTGATTTCCGGGTTGAGAACGGTGGGTGCTGGATGACGACGCAAGATCTTTCCTGAGTCTGCGCAAAGGGCGTGTGCTTATTCTGCAGAATGACTACATTTACCTTAGAATATTTAAATATATTGTAATGCTTTTCTAATTTAATGCAGGACTTAAAATACAGGACTCTTACTTGCTTATACTTCATTAAAGTATCTGAGTAATCTGAGTACTCCTACTCTGCAGAGCAGTTAAAATAATTTAAATAATGACTTTATTTGTAAAGCACTTTACAAAGAGTTTCAGACTTCAAATAAAAGCCCCACACAGTAATCCAACATAAAATAATTTTCTGTCTTCTGTGTTGTGCCACTTTTTAAGTGATATCTTCTGTATTAGGCCTGCAGGATTGCACAAGTGCCTTAAATTCACACCCTTCTTAATAAGATATTTTTTCCCATTTACCCTTTTTTTGATTGTCAGGGTGGTGGCCTTTGTGGTATACAGACTTTCAGACTTTCCTCTTATTACTTTGAGAGAGAAGATGCCTATTTAAACTGGACAGGAGGATGGGATGACAGGGTTTGACAGGCAAGGAACTACTTTCCTGAAACAAAAATACTGTCCTCATGAGAAAATATTTATGTGATGACTTCACTTGTTGTGTTGATGTAAAAGTGCTTTTGGGTGCATTGGGTTGTGACTATGATGCAGATGAGTGGAGGCTGTCCACTGACAGCACAAAAGCCAGCTTAAAATGTCTCCTGCTGCATACTGGAAATTAGTTTGCATCCAGGCCAGTCGGCAATTCTGTCCAGTTAAAAGGAACCTGTGAAAAAAATTAAATTGTGTTGGAGAAGCATAAACACAATGAGCAGAAATGTGAAAAAAAATGGATTTGCACAAAAGTGTATGTGATTGAATATTTTTATTACTGCTTTTGAATCCATCATCATCTACTTTCTGGAAAATGGCAGATTTAAAAAAATAAATAAATAAAAAAATTTGCTGGGCAGTGAAAAAAAAAGCAGTAAAGATTGATTTTTAAAGTTTTAATGTAATGAAGTAACAATATCATGTTTTAGTAAAAAGGCTTGATATTAAGTGCATCCTGTGAGCAGCAATTATAAGTAAAATGCTTTATTATTATTAACATCACTAATCCCCCACAGATCCTGATCCTGCTCCTACCACTGCATGGAGGGAGAAACCGTGCATGATAAATGAACAGCTCAACTCTCGGCAACATAAAATCAAACAAAGAAAACTCCTTTGAGGCTCCCGAAGAAATGGACAGCAGTGAAACACTGTCTGTTGAGACGTCTATGAACACAAGTAAGTGAAAGGAATTTACTGAAAAAAAAATAAAGAAATATTTCAGATATTCAGTGATCACACTGTTGATGTGATTTTACAACAACTGTGAAGTGGAGATATCATGTCTTCCCTGCCATGTAGTGGAAAATATAGTGGGCAAGAGTAAAAAGTATTTAAAGTACATAACAGTGTGTTATTTTTTGTACACACTTGTCTTAACATGGCCATTATCTTGTCCAGCTTTAGACTTTAATACATCAGCTAGAACAGTGCACAGCATTTCTGCAGGGCCTTTAAAAAATTCCAGGGATTTTGCACAGGGACCAGTTCCCACAGAATCTAACTTCTGGACAACATACTGGAATGTAACTTTAGACCTGTGGATCAGCATTTTGAATTGTCTCAGAGGAAGCACTGTTCATTAGGCAGTAACTACCCATATGGAAAAGATATATATAAATCTTATAAAGTTTCTATCTGTCTTGTGTGAAACTTGTATGAAAAGCATACAAGAGTGAAAACAGATATAAGATCCCTTGAAAAATTATATAATGAAACTTGTATGTTTTGGATACTTCCTAAAACAATATATGAAAGTAATGAGAAAGTGGCCACTTTCATGAGTAATCACTTATAAGTTTTTACTATTTCTTTTCCATATGGGTAACCTCCACTAAACTCTACTATAAAAATATAGGATAAAACTTAACATAAAACCAAATTGTATTTCTCTTCTTACACATGTTGAACTAAAATCCAGTGAGAAGCAAAAGATATATATTAATAATAATATACAACAGCTAACAAGATTACAACAGTCATACAGTATTCATACCATACTGTGTGAAAAACTTTCAGTCATTGTGGCCCAAAAAAAAACTAGATGAGGATATTTTAAGGTTCTTGCATAAAGAAAATCATTAATTGATTTAAAGCATGTTTTAAATGGCCTTTTAAAATGCCAGTATTTTGTTAAAATTAAGATTCTCTGTATCCACAGAGACACAGCTGGAGAGGTTACTGGAGGACCTGGGCTTGGAGCAGTACTACAGAAAGAAACTATCACTCAGCAAAATACTTGAGATCACAAAGAGAACCATCACTGATGAACCTGCAAAGTGTAAATCAGACCAACTATGGCATTTTCTAAAGAAACTGATGATGGTTAATGTGACAGCTAGAAATGTGACATATACCTCAGAGTGTGACTCAAGCAGTGATGAGGATTCAGGAAGTACAGAGTTTGATTCTGACAGTTCAAACACAGAGGACAAGGTGAACCCTCTTGATATAGTCACTGCTCTCTTTCTGTGTTCTGATGGTTTTCTGCAGCAGGAAATGGCACTAAAAATGTCCACATGTCAGTTCTCTGTTCCTCTGCTGCTTCCCAATTGTGACACCAATCAGTGCACACTCATGCTGTGGGCCATGAGAGACATTGTTAAAAAGTACAGACCTCAGTCTCTGTCAGAGTCCAAGGGCTTCATTGAAGACAGAATCGTTCTGTCTGAACTTCCAATGATCTCTTTTGTCAGACTGGGTGAGTGCTCCTCGTCCAAGTCAGAGATTCTCAATAAGCTTCTGAGCAATTCTCAGCAGTACCATGACACCTTTGTTCATCGCAACATGGAGTGTGGTGACAGTCCAAGAAGAATATCCAACGGACTGACTGAAATTACTTGGTATCTTCCTGGTGGAAACACAAACAATGATATTTTCAGTCAGCCAGTGGCTGTAGCTAACCTTCGTGGTGACATTGAATCCTTTCAAACACAATACTCCTTTCTGTGTCAGACATCTGCTGCAGTTTTTGTGTTCTTTGACCATTTAGGCTCTGAATCTGAATTCAGTCTCCTTACCAACCAACAGCACAAGGCACAGATCTTCTTAGTGGGTAACAATTACAGCAAGCGGTTCAGTAAAGATGCTTTAGAAAAAGTAGCAAACAAATTGGGCTTGACTAATGACAAGATCACAATTATTAGGAAGAAACAGAAAAATGAAGCAGACTTTGTGAAAAGTTTGAGAAAAAAAAGTCAGTAATGTGGTGGAAAACTCAAAGATTAAGATGACAATAGAGCAGATGGCAGACATTGCCCATGAACTGGGAATCCTGGTTGATGAAGACTCTCCAGAGTGCCAGATATCAAGGAAAAATGCAGAAGCCATCACTGCTGAAATTCAATATATCCATAGATTCAAAGAAGATCAGCTTCCACGACAAGGTGAAATATGGAAAGACCTGACCTGCTTAGAGAAGGAAGAATTTCTAACTTCTAAACTTCTAGAACTTCTAAAAGTTGGCTCCAAAAATATAGCAGATTACAAAAGCGAACTTCAGCTACAAAAAGAACAACTGCGGAAAAAGCAGAACTCTTATGATATGTCAAGAGCTATGGAATGCTTCATCAGTGCAATATCAAGCCCAGGAACAGAGAGGTTTTATTTCCTGAAATGGATGCAAATGATCCTCGATAACATGTCTCGTATAAAACTGTCTCAACTTCATGAGAAATATAAAGAAAAATGCAAGAACTCTGAGGAGATCAAAGAAATTGACAGACAAATTTCCAACAGCTCACTGGGGACTGAACACTTCTTCCGTGAAATGGGTCAGATCTATGAAGCTTCACTGTCCCTTCCACAAACAGATCCAGCACGTCAACAGCTGCAGCATCTGCCCAAACTGTGTGCAGAGTTGTTGCTTGATGGATTTCCTCTTGAGCTTGTAGATGGAGATGCATCCAACATCCCTCTCAGATGGGTGAGTGATGTTCTCTCTCAGCTCAGTGACTTGGTGTCTCCAAACAGAAAGATCCTGGTAGTCACAGTTCTTGGAGTTCAGGGCACAGGAAAGTCCACTCTCCTTAACACCATGTTTGGAGTGCAGTTTGCAGTCAGCAGTGGTCGATGTACTCGAGGTGCCTTTATGTTGCTCATCAAAATCGATGAATATATGAAAAAAGTCCTAAACTGTGACTTCATGGTGATCATTGACACTGAGGGCTTAAAGTCACCAGAACTTGCGCAACTAGACAACAGCTATGAGCACGACAATGAGCTTGCTACACTTGTTGTGGGGCTGAGTGATGTCACCATTGTTAATATTGCAATGGAGAATTCAACTGAAATGAAGGACATCCTACAAATAGTTGTGCATGCTTTTCTCAGGATGAAGAAGGTGGGCAAAAAGCCGAGATGTGTGTTCGTTCACCAGAATGTGTCCGATGTTTCAGCCCATGAGAAGAACTTACGAGACAGGAAACTGCTCCTGGAACAGTTGAATGAGATGACCCAGGCAGCAGCCAAAATGGAAAAGAAAGAGGAGAACAAGAGCTTCACTGATGTGATGGAGTACAGTCCAGACACTGGGAACTGGTACATTCCTGGACTCTGGAATGGAAACCCACCAATGGCACCAGTCAATGCAGGGTACAGTGAGGCTGTATATGAGCTCAAGAAAAACATCATCCAACTGCTGGGAAACTGTGAGTCATCTGCTAATGATATCTCTGAGTTTACAGAGTGGATAAAGAGCCTGTGGACTGCAGTAAAGCATGAAAACTTCATCTTCAGCTTCAGAAACAGCCTCATAGCTGATGCATACATGAGACTCTGCACAGAATTTAACAAATGGGAGTGGGAATTCAAAAAAGAAATGTACACCTGGGTAACAAACGCAGAAACTAGAATTGCCAATTTTGGTAAAGTTGCTGTAAAATCTGAATCTTCTGACATGAGAGAATTTCTCACATGTTTGAAAAGTGAAGCCTCCACAGTGCTTTCCACATGGGAGACAAAGCTTCTAGAAAATCTGACACAGTATTTTCAGCAAACAGAGGGTCATGTTTATCTGGTTGAAGGATGCAAAGAGGAATTCTTAAACAGTGGAAAGAGCCTTCGAAAAGAAATGGAGAGATCTGTTTTTAATCAGCTCACAGCAGCAGCAGAAAACAGACAGGGAATGAAAGAAATTGAAAAAATTAGAAAGAACCATACACAAGAGATTGAAAATGCAGTTTGTGTGTTGATAGATAAATGCAAAAAGAAAAAAGTCCAGATGACAGACAAAGAGCTGGAAAAAGAGTTTGATAAGATGTGGAATGAAACACTGGTGAAACTTTCTTTTTCTGAACAAAAGATCACAAATGTCTTCATTCTTCTGGAAGATTGTGGAAAAGAGCCTTTCAAATATACAAGTGAGAACATACATCGCAGACCTATACATGCAGTGGCTAAATTGTACAACATTCAAGTTCTCATTACAGCTGTACAAAAACTGGCTGACAGCATCATAGATCACTGCACTCAGTTTGTGAGTGAAACAGTAAAAAGAAAAAACAGTTACACTGACACTTACATCCAGGAGATCCTACACATGATTGATGAGAAACTACAAAACAATCAAGATGTTAGGACAGAAATAGAGTTTGAAGTTTCCCTGAAACAGCACATCTGTGGATTTGCAGCCAGAGAGTTTCAGAAGATGCACGAAGATTTCATCCAAGCAAATGATCCCTACAGATGTCTGATGAAAAACAAGGAAAAGTTTCGTGACGATTTCAAAGATTTATTCCATGAAAGAGACCAGTGTCAGAAGAATTCACCAACAACTGTCGTTCCGAAATTCACTGTTACTGGATTTATTTTCAAAAGTAAGCGATTTTAAAAACTATGTGAGCTATATTGACTCATATGAGAAATATGTCAAGACATGGATACTAAACCAAATAGTGGAGCATTTCTCAACTGTGACAACAATATCTGAGTTTGAGGACCGACATCTTCAATCATTTATCAGAAACATAAATTATGCAATTAACAAGGCCCAAAGAGGAATGGGTGATGATTTGAAGACATTTGTTGAAGATATTTGTAAAGAACTTTGTGATAAACTGGTCATTTCCCAGGATGCTCTTGGTGATTTCATGATGCTGAACAATGCTGACAAAGAACAGTTTGCTGACTGGTTCACAGTCTCTGTGAATGAGATGGCACAAGACCTCAGAAAAGAGTTTCAAACATTGAACTTTGAAGTGAAACTACAGCATCTCCATGTGCAGCCCCAGAATGAGCTTTTCAACAA